TCTTCGTATTTAAGTTTCACAGGGCAATATGCGTTTTGCTTACCCATATTTAGTCGTGTTCCAGGGGTCCTTTCGCCGATGCTGGCATGCATGCTTTGGAGCGTGACCCGCATTCGCTGTCGATTGCAGGTACAGGCAGGAGAACTGAGAGAGTAAGAGAACAAAACTAGGTGTTTAACGGTGGTCGCAGCCAGGGACCCACTTACCGATCGAGGGGCAATTTGCTTCCTACGCGTTATCGGAGCACGTCATCGCTCCGATAAAATTGTTCAACAAAAGGAATACGTCAATAACTCGAAGACTTATAGTACATTCTGTCATAACTCTGGAACTATCTAATATAGAGGCTTATTGGACTTCCACTTCGTCATCAACAGATAAAACGTTCACTTTTCTTAACTGTTGCTCTGAATCTCTCTTGCTCATGCTACATAATACCCCCAGCTTGATACTGATCAGTGAGCCTTTTATGAAGCACAAGCTACACGGGTCAGGCTTAAATGCTCTGTGGGTTACAACCTACGTGCTTAATTGTAAACACGTAGGTTATGATTCGGAACTCTTCTTGCAGAATAACTAGCTAAATCCCTACACGTTGTTTTTAGCAAATGGGTGTAGTCGCAAAGGCTCGATTCAACTGTTGTTATTAGTTGGGTTTGTTCGTACTTGCATAGTTTCGATGATGCCTACGTACGTGCTTTGATGTATTTCAACAGCTGCCATTAAAAGCTTATCCGAAGTAGAGGCGTACCGTGAAAACATAAGCTGGCACGGTCTTAAAGAAGTAGTTCACTAGCTCGGTTAAGCTATTGATTACTCCATAAGTATGGTTCTATAACTTGTGCGGGAAATCTCAGTGTGCAGACTTTAATGAGTCGCTCATCATGTCCACCAATCCCATGGAACTGCTTTCTTTGATGGAAACGGTAAATGATTCACCACATTCGTAAGCCATTGTCACGGTTACAGTGCTTTTGAAAACTGGAAAGTCGTTTTCCTCCTGATCTGAACAGAGAACCAAACGGCTCTATCTGAAATGAATGATGACTTACAACGCTTCTCGATATAACCAACGTTATAACACTATACAGGTATTAAAAACATTACCCAGTGTAGAAAACGGGCCAGTTTTTTTCCAGAAAAGTACGTTAAGCACTACTTATACTAACTTTATTTGATTGACACTTCGGCGTGTGACATCAGAGGATTAAAGCTGCTATTTATTACTTTTCTTTGATGTCGATTGCAATTAGACAGCGGAACTAATAGTGACCGTATATACAAGAAGAAACATATTGAAACAAAAAATCCTCAATGTGTCAAGTGGAACTGAAGGCAGCTACTTCGTTTGTACGTCGATACATATCAGAAGCTGGGTTAGGAGCGATTGCGCCCTCTACACGCTGGAGATCGTTCTTTAAATAAGAAATTGCTATACTACAGAGTACTCATGTATTTCTCCGTATTTCCGAATAACCCTTTCCAGCTGGTTAGCCTTATCCATCTTTCGCAATCATGCAAATATACCGGTCGTAATAGTAGAAACCGTAGCTAAAAGCAGTAAACTGTAATGGGAACAACGATGTTTTTCCCTTACGGAAGAACGATCCGAGGCGGGAAGCTCACGATTGTAGTACAACATATCGACATAGTGATACAGTATAACCCACAATTATATTTGTTCGATCGCTGTTTCAAAATCTAGTGCTGATAGAGAAATTGCATTGTTTAATAGAATTTATGACCATTTGTCTCGTGACACCGCTACGATGATAGCAATAACCAACTATTTACGATAATTATCAAAATAGGTTTGATAAAATTTAAATGTACCTGATAAAGAACAAAAGTTGTCTTGCTCCGATCATCTGTCGATTTACTGACCGGATATTGTGAGAAACGCCCGGTTGGAAAATCAGCGTTGGTTTAAACCCAAAGCAACAACCAACTTGGAAGAAAAATTATATATCACTGTGTCCCTATAATAAGACACCATTACAAGTCAAGGAAAAGAAACAAGAAAGCAATCAAATCTATTACCTTCCTATATTTATTAGTTTTATACCAAGATCTTCTCTTATCTCCAAAAGTCTCTAGATAGACATGATCTACAGCAAATCTAACGCGGATATCCCATTTACAACGGGTCCACTCAGCCATAGAGGTAGTAAGCAAAGTTTAGCCCATACGCTGCTCCCGTCGATACTCTCGCCGTCACCGCACGCATCATTCGTTGCGACGTAATCTCGACGCTTGCATGAATTCAGGCTGACCTGGAGACTTGGAAAGTAAGCAGAAAACTACAGGAATACTTGCCGGCCTGCTAGCGGCTGTTTCCTACTTCCTTGTGTTTTATCCTCCGGTGTCTTGTCTAGCTATTCTAAAAGTTCTTAGAAACTCCAAGCTGAAGAGATGCCGGACAGCCGCCCGGCACCTTCCTTCTTTTCCTTCGTCTGCCCAGCATAGCGTTCACATATCAAAGACTCACCAACATTAAGCTTCTGCGTTATCTACCGCAGGAGCCACTTGTAGAATAAAAGTGGGTATACTACGTGAGAGCCAGAAGCAGTGGCACCGTAAGGCATTGAGAACTAGAAGCTAAGGAACACGCTGGGCTGAGGCACAAAAGTCTAGACTACAAAGTCCCGAGATATCTATCTTTTTTTCTGCGTTCGCAGGATTCCCCAGGCACGTCCATATATACATGCGGACGCTAAAATATGCACTAATTGCCGCCCCGAAGAGAGTTCCAGTTCGCAGGCAATGTTAGTGGCAAACCGGACTGTCGACGCTGGCCATCGGCTTTGCTTTTATTGCTCCGAATTCACTTTCTGAGAAGGCAGTCAAATTGTATTCCATTGAACAATATGTGCGTTTGCCTCCGATTCCTTTGGGCCACCCGTGAATCCACCACTACTGTTGCTGCCTTCACAGCATAACGACCACTTGTGTAGGCAAGCAGATGTGATGCGGTCTGATTATCGACAAACAGATTACGTTAGAGTGGGAATTATCTAGGTATATTGAAGATGCTAAATCAGGAAAGCGATTCATGATTCCACTTATTTTCGGTCTTGGTCCATATTCATGCCACCAAAAGCGTCAATATTTCGAGGACAAGCAGCGAACTGTGAATAATTTACATTGATATAATCATGGACTAGGGAGACCACCATAAAGCAGATAGAATACATGGGAAAGCTTGGTTGCCTGTTTGTTGCATTAGGCATGCCTCCATCCGTTTCTCTTAATTTCAAAAGAAAGCCAGTCCCTTTCTACAGCATAGTAACATACTTATCGTGGCAAAAAAGAAAAAGTGTCGCTTCCGTAACCAGTCCTTGCGCGCCAGCGACACTCGGAAGTCTCTTTTTGACCGAAGATGTCTATGGACAGTTTTCATGCGACTTTAAAAATATCCGAAGGACATTTTAGTACGCCAACCGGAAAATGCTCAATAGCATTTTTTTTTAACGAGCTCAAGAACGCCATTTTTTGATACAGTTGGATTTTTCATACAAAACTTGAGTGCTAGGAAAGGAGAATATTAATAGTAAATTGGGTTAGTTAGTTTCCTTAAGGCTTGTTCCGCTATTTTTTTTGTATCTTTCGGACTTTTTGTCAGTTTCGACTGCTTGAATTTTTGAAGGCTCCAGCCTCCTATTAGTCCAAAAATAGATTCTATTGAACTTTTTTTATGCGGCGTACTTGAACGTCACCATAGCGAGTTTACATCTACCAGTGCTATTACTAGAAAGTTGTTTGCAGGTTGAAGAAGGAATATTTTGAAAATGACGAGCGAGTAAGCTAGTTCCAAAACTAAAGCTGTAACTGCGGCAAATGGTGCTTATATCGAAGCAACACATGTAGCACATGCTTATTCTGCTGAAATATCTCTTTTGAATTAGGTACAGTTCTAGGAAGAAGGCACAAGAGGCATTCCAGATTTAGGCGCCGAACCCTGAATATCTACCCTGAAGTCGAAGGTACGATAGGTGGCTGAACCCCAGGTCGTGATGAGAACCATGTTGCTAAATTTGCTGATTATCTTATGATCATCTTATACTATTGTTTTCCATCGTCCCGGTTACTTCTCTCATCTCAGTAACTGAAAAAAGATTTGCTTGCTTAACTTGCCTTACCTGAACTTACGCATCTATCCAGATCCGTATTTAAAACAATTGGAATACGTTCTGCTGCTTGTCATAGAATGTTTGTCCATAATGGTGACCTATATATACCGTTTTGTCAGATATTCTATAGCTCAATCCTGTTTAACTTTCTGTCAGAAACACGTATTACATGTAATTGGATGGAAGCAAATTAGATGAAGAGCCAGGCTTTGAATTCAAATGTCCTAATTTCAACAGATACGACCATATGCAAACCTATCACCCGCTTCATAGTACAAAAATATCGTAATGTTGGCGTAGGAAATACGTAATTATAAACAGCAGTTGGCCACGCATTTGTGATGGCGTCGTAGTCTTTCTTAGTTTCATAGAACCAATAAACCTTTTACTGAAATTGTCCAGGTCTCGAAGTATGAGAGTAAAGACAAGTAGTTTGTAGCATTAAGAGCGCCGATAAAACCGGCAAACGACCTTAACATTAAAAATAACAGCATTCTCTCTTAACGATTAGGTATAAGCCTAGTGGTCAATAATATCGTGGCATTCGTATGGTATTCGACGTAAATTGTGACAGATTATTGCGAACGTCTCTAAGCCTATGCATCAAATTATTGTTTACGCTTCTCCGAATCTAACTTTAAGGACCCCTTAACACTAATAATACCGGGTGGAAGGATGGTTTCTACCTTTTTTCGTAGGCAATCCGTTCGTACAGACATATATAGCATAATATCGTGTGATGCCTCATTCAAAACTCCGAGGCCGCTAAATGTCCCTCAGTAGTTCCATAATCATTTTACTGAGGCTACTGGTTATATGTGTCGAATTAAGAGACCACTTTTTGAAAAGCTCATGCTCATTTTTACTCACCACCGTCGTGTAGGGAGGCTGCATTGATGATTCGTTAAACGAGGCCTGCTGAAGGCAGATTTCTGGCTAGTCATCGTTTGAACTGTTCATCTCGGGCAAATAGCGGTGGCAAAGTCAAAAACACACATTGCTCTACAGGCGAACATCAGCGTTATCCTTTGAGTGTCGTTGATAGAAGATTTGACCACAGACAAGCAGAAGTTAGCGACAGGACGCCACCGTTAGAAGAAACTGCTGACGTTCAGGGCTTATTGTTTTTATGAATCTCATTTGTTAGCGTGAAATAGACACGATCAGAGACAGCCTGAATATCAATGCATCATACTGTGTCATAACAGAAGAACGAAGCAATAACAGTAACAGTCATGTTGTAAATGGAAGCAGCACGTTCTTTGTTTCGCAGTAAATCGCTGCACACGCACACTGTAGATTACTTGTCCTATGGCCTATGATGACACCTGCAATATAGTTTAGGTTCAATATCTTACTCAGTCAACGAGCAAAACGAACCCCCACATACCCATAGTACCCTACGCCATGTACCGCAAAGCTGAAGTTGACATAAACAAGAAGAGCAAGCACGTCGCGGCCTACGGCAACTTACTTCGCAACCGAAGTAATACGATGGTAACTTGATCAGAGCAGCCACGAGTCTAACCAAGAGGACCTAACTCCTGCCCTTTCTCGTCGGCTCGACCCTCTCCAGGAGGAGGAACCTCGCGAAGATCGGCGTCCGTTTTCGCCTGCTTGGGCTATGGCGGAGGTGACGTACGAACCGCAGTCGCCATTACGATCGAAGAATCTACGTCGGTAGTCCTTTTTCTCTGGCTAAACGCACACTACACAGGCTCTGTTTTGACTAAATCTTGAGTATCTAATTAGGGTATTGGACTGCCTTTCATACGTCTATCGGCTTTATGTTACCTTTACCCTCCGTATACTGACACACAACTGACAATTACTCATAAATGAGGCGTATTACCACCATTTTGGCACGGATATACAGTAGGCATAGATAAAATTAGGTCGCTAGCTTTTTTTCTAGTTGAAAATCACCAAGGACTATATAATATTACTCGCATGATTTTCAACATGTTGAAACAATAATAGTGATAATAATGTATTGAAGACTAATATTCAGTTTTTCGTTTGTTAGCGTTTTAAAGAAATATTGTATAGAAACTTAGCTTAAAACTTGCCGCCACGTCGTTTGTGAGGACGATACAAATTATGAAATACTAACGAATATATTTACGAACAGTCACATAGTATATCTCAAAAAGTTAGTCACTAATGGCCAAACTATGTCAAAATGTCGAGTCTGCTCAAAAGGCCATCTATAACCATAGTAACCACATCAAAATGTGTTTTAGTAATACGCCAAATGGCGCGTCTATCTCGCACCGTTCGCAATCCATACATATCGCAATAGATTCCACACAATTCCGCCTGGGGGGGGGGGGGGGGATATGGACTTTCACCTATTGGTTGGACTATATCTGTTACTAACCGGTCTATATATATATATATACGTAAGTTCGCACTAAAACTCTATCGTGAGTCAAAGCCTACTAGCCATAAACGCTTTATCTATTTTGCACTGTATATAAGGGGGCAAATATCGGATGCAAATCACTTCTCTATTATGAACGACTGAACGAGGGTGAATCCACTGAACGAGTTCCACAACAAACCACCTCTAAATAGTAAAAAGGAATTGCACAAAGGTCGGTCAGCAGTAATTTCGGATAAACGGTGCAGTTGCTTTCTGCTTCTGTCTGAGTTAGCAAAACTGTAGGGGTCCTTTGTCTGTTTATAACACCTGCCTGCTTCGTCAATAACAGTGTAAGCACCGTCGAACGCCAAAAGACCTAATGAAGAATACACCATACAAGATCCAGCAGAAATCGTGTCCGCTAAAGGCAAGCATTGTGCATCTATCTATCTATATAAAAGTGGCCATAAAACTTCCATGTCTCGTATGTCCACTAACGTACACATTTACATGTACGACATACATTTAGAAGTGTTTGTACATGTTAAACGAAAATACACTGTAATGGATAGGTTATTTTGTTTCTCGTGAAATATTCGACCACAGTGTTGGGACATCTTGTCCTGGCTGCACGCAGTATGAAATAAGGAAAACAAAGGTATAGCTATGCGAGAATGGCTTGGAGGTCATTCGCGTCGCCCAATACAATCCAAATCAAAAGAACTTATTGTAAAACTCTTCAAGCGTGTTCATTAACAGATTGCCGATTCTATACACCGTCACACTTGTCACGTCGAGGATCCAATTTGTGTCAATTCACTGCGCTTTTTTTCCTGTTTTAAACATTTCCTCATCCCTTCCTGGACGGTCGACGTAAAGCATTGAACTTACGCCGAGACCAAATCAAAAGGACGTTCATCATTTTCTCAGACAAAGCTCGCTATTAGTTAAAAAAAAAAAAAACGATAAATACAATCCCGAAAGTATACATTTCCTTCGGGTAACTCTACGGAAGCAATAAGGCTCATGGCCTCGTAGAGACTGCACAGTCTTTATTTCAGTGTCTCGTTCTTAATGCTAGTACACTTCCTGCTTTAGCCCCTTCGTAACGGGACATCTTTTTGTCGAAAACGATATCTATCTGTGCAACTTTCATACGATTTACGATGTTTGCTTGAAACTAGTACGAATAAATCAGTAACATTTTACGTAAACATACGGAGGCGCAAATTGACAGCCAATACAATATCGTATTTCGGGCAAACTTAGGATCAAATCGTACGAACGCATTATCTACAAAGCATATCTTTCACCAGCTCTAATCGCAAAAAAAGCCCACATTTCAAAGTAGAGCCGCAGCAATGACGAATAGGTGGCATAGTGTTCTATTTGCTATTTTCAAAAAAAAAATTCTTTTCGTATATTATTTATCTCTGACTCCATTTGTATATGACATACATGTCTAACCTATAATATCTCTGTTAATAGAAATGTTGTCCGTCTACACCCCGTCGTTCCTGTAGTACGCTGGAGCTATACCTTACTCCAAGACACTTCTTATGAGAGGTAAACTGGCCATGAAATGAGAAAGAATAACTAATATTAATGTTAGAACTCGCAGCTCTATAGACTATAGTCTAATAGATGAAAAAGTTACTGAAGGATCATCGAAGTTACATAAACACATGTGACACAACTTGCTGAGACAACAGTAAAACCAATGATGATCTTGCATAGGTCAACTCGCCTATGTTAAAGTAACGGGCGGCAGATAGCGAATGATCTGACCGACTGATGGCCGTGGTAACGGCGATCAAACCTGTTCTCCTCAATCAAAAACTGTGTTTATTAATTGCAAGGGACCCAGGAGATGTTACGTAAGTTAACTCATTCGAGTTCATACATAATAAAACTCTGGGATAAGTTGAATTTGAGCGACCTGTAGTAGCTGATCATCCGGACTTGATGGACAATGTCGATTTCTAACGTTTTCAAACGATCTGCTGAATCTCAGCTCAAAACGATTGATGAACGAATTTGCTTTTTGATGTCACGACAAGTCTGTATTAGTTAGTGAAAGAATGGAAGCGCGGTGAATTTAAAAAAAAACGATTAAATTTCTTAGCAAAAGTACGTCTTCAGAAAATTCGATTATCGGACAGTCAAATAATTGAATTCCCGGAAAAATTGAAATCTGGTTCCCAGCGCATGGTCAGTTCATTGAAGCCCACAACAAGAATTTACACGCGGGCTGAATACCGTTTGCACTGTGCCAATGTGTTTCAAGGGGCTAATTTTCGTATGCTTTTGAGTTCAGGTCCCTTATGAACCAGTAAAGTTCGCAATTAGAAGCCCTAATCGTTCATCGGGACACGACCGGAAAAATCTAGCTTTGTTCTAAAAGTACATATTTGGTCGCCTCATGCGTCGTCCTTTATCTTCAGATCTTATAGGTGTAATTTGATGAAATTGGACCATCGAGAACTCGAGAAGAAAGTTCATTTAATAGCAAGCTTAATAAAAACATTTCAATAAACCATCAGCAATACACAAAGTTCCAGAAATCAGCGCAATGAACACTTCATCTAATAAAATAGGAGCCATCAGCTACTGAATTGTAAACAAGTATGATTACGTGATTTTTCACAGCTTTAGAGAACGCTTACGTTAACCAAGCACAGCTTGTTAACATGCCCCCCGAGGACACCGTAATTAACTACTATGCGTTAGAATATGAAAGGCATCAACAAGCAAAGGATATATCTCTACAGAAAGGGCCCAAAGGTTCGGTACGAGAAAATAGTGCAGCGGTCATTGAAATTCCCCCCTGCAGTAATGGAAATAACAGCTTTGATACTGCTTGTTAGGTTATACACTGACAAAGAAACGGCGTTCTTGTCATCTGTCCATCTTAGATACAGCGAATTCCGCTGTTCATTTGTCGGCATGCTTTTAAACGTTTATGTTATTAACATAAGTTATTAGTTTGTCTAAAACTGTTTAACAAGTTGGAAATTGTGAGTAACTTCTAAACTACACACTACTATCAGATATTAGGCTGTTACAACCGAATCCGGTGAACTTTGAAATTGAACAGCTTTTGATTGCACGTTGCTAGCCGACGAAATTTAATCTGTCGAGTAAGTTGTACGTCCGATAGAGTTAATTGCAAAAGAAATAAGCCTAAAAAAGCCTTCTATTCTCGAAAAATCAACGTTTAGTATTCAAGTTTCTATTCCTTGAAGGCCAAAGCACAGCGGAAATTCACCAAAGGCTGGTAAAGATGTTAGGCAAGGAGGATTTTCATGAAAACAAATTGTGGAATCTAAGGCCACCTATCTAATGAGTACTGGCATTTCACGCGTCACGTGTGACCAAATTATAACCCAAATTATATAATAAAAATGGGTCCTCCGTGAATTGGCTCCATACCAGTTGGAAATGTGCATGGTTTATTCAACGTTTAATTTACGAAACTTTCACTGACAAAGAACCTGACAAAAACGGAGTATGCGACCGCTATATACCTGGGATGTCTATCGCCAGCCGCAGAGAGACCAGGCGAGACAATGGCATCACCCTGAAAAAATTGAGTTCAGTGGCAGTGTGGAGTAAATTCAGACTCAAGATGGTGGTAGCACTTGCGATGGACATCAGGGACATCTGCAAATATGAGATACTCGCCGAAAATGGAAGGACAAATACAGTCCTCTGTCTTGACTTTTTAGGAGACTGATGGACCGTTAAGAGGCTAATCGAAGACGTGCAATCTTATTACTAGATGACAATGCCATATTTTACCGCTATGACTAAACTATTTCCTAAAGGAAGGCAAAGGTATATACAACGTTGACTTCAGCCTGCTTATTCGCCCGATTGAAGTTCGAGCTTTCTACGTCTTTCGGCATAGGCTTCGGCAAGGCAATCGTTGGGCAAGCATATTCTACGACTGATTTACTTCAAGAAGCCGTAGACAGAGGAAGTTACATACAAAAACGCAAGTGATAGGTATATGGTAATTACCGGAACACTAGAGAGATTTTGTAAAAACGATAAAGAAGATTACTTTTAGCATATAT